GCGGCGGGGGGAGGGGGGGGGGGAACCCCAAACGGGTAAGAAGAGAAAGGAGTAAACACAGTATCATTTAAAAAAAAATCAGGTGGGGAAAAAAAAAACATGTTAAGTACAAAGCAAAGTTAAGAAAAACCCAGGTTTGTAAAGATCCCATTTGCAATCCCATGCAAATCAATTCAGTGCTCACCCTTAATGCTTGCCCCAGTCTGGCAAGACATAATTAGAAATCAACAAGGGTTTTACTGTCTCTGATTTATATCTCTTATCTGTTATTTTATCTCTTTCTGACAGATTTTAAGAAAAAATTATTATACTGTACTTATACTGCATGTACATATGAAAAATATGAATTTACTTATTACCACTGAACTGTACACTCAAAAATGGTTAAGGTGGTGAATTTTGTGTTATGTGTATTTTATCACAGTAAGAAAATTCTAAAAAAAAAATCAGCATCAAGGTATTTTCTGGGAGAAAAAGGAGAAACAAATGCTCCAGAGCAGTGAGAGTATCTATACATATCGGAGCCGAAGTGACGGCTACAACTGGCTGACTGAACGACCAGTCGCTATGACACCACCAGGGGGCAGATGTCCAATGCAGGAGCTGCCCCCTGGTGGTCACCACACTCCCACAGCCAACCTCCCCTGGCCATTCAACCTCCTGCAGTCCCTCCACCTGGACTGGGCGAGATGGCCCTGATTGGCCTCGATCTCCAGCCAGGCTGAGGGACCCCACCCATGCACGAATTTGTGCATCGGGCCTCTAGTTTTAAATAATAAAGTAAAAAACAAAGCAGTGACCTGGTCTTTGAACTTTCTTGTTGCAGATTCGTACGTCAGTGACAACACTGTTATTTCCCAAAAGGCCCTTCAGCTGGATAAGACATATCCTGATTGCAGCCATGCTTATTGCACTTAACAATATTTTGGTCATCCTTGTGCCAACTATAAAATACATCTTTGGATTCATAGGTAAGTTTCAGAAAGGCTTTTTTTTCCCCATCTTCTTTTTTAAAAAAAATTTGTTGTTCAATTACAGTTTAATTCGTATTAGTTTCAGGTGTACCGTATACCGGTTAGACAACCATATACTTTAGGAAGTGTTCCTCCTGAAATTTCCAGCACCCGTCTGAAATCATACATAGTTACCGCAATATTTTTTACTTTATTCCCTAGGCTGTACTTATATCCCTGTGACTATTTTGTAACTACCGACTTGTGCTTCTTAATCCCTCCACCTTTTCATGTAGTCAGCTCAAGCTGATAGCCCCTTAAATGGCAGACAGGGAGCCTCTGTGGGGAGGCCAAGAATCCCCATCTGTCTGAGGCTCCCAGCTTCCTAACAGTCCCATGGGCTCCAGCTGTCACCTTCCCTCTCTCCCAGGTGACACTGGAAGTTACTGACATGATCCGAAAATGTTAGTGCCAAAAGCTACCTTACAGGTCATCTAGTCCAGCTGCCTTTTCTGACAGACGAGGAAACTGAGCCCCACAGAAGTCAAGTCCTATACCTTGGAGTGGACCCTGGGTTTGCACTTAGGTCTTAACTCTGCCGCAAAAAATAAGGGAGGCAGATTTTACCCTCGGGATGCTCTCTCAGGTCTGTGATTAGCTGAGAATAAAGGATATCTTTGGAGGAGGAGGAGATTGGTTTTGTAAAGCATATTATTTCCCTTTACTGTGTGGCCTGCTAATATATTTAATATTTTTATTCTGCTGATTTGGGGGTTTACTACAACTTTAAATCCAATACTGTATAAAACTTCTAAAACTTAGGTAAAAGCAACTTGAAAAGTTAGAAGTAAATAGGAAGGGTGTGTGATGAGTTCAGCCTCCTTAGCAGATGCTTATTGTATTACTAGAGGCCCAGTGCACAAATTTGTGCACTGGTGGGTCCAGTTGGCCCACCCCGATGGGGGCCGATTGGGGGCGAGGCCAGCCAAGGTGAGGGGCCTCAGTTGTTCCTGTCCTTCTGGTCATTCTGCCATTTGGTCGCGGGGCTTTTATTATATAGGATTAATTTCCTGTAAATTTGTAACATTTGGTTGTTTTATTATTGATTATAGGTTATGTGTACTTAGTCTGCAGCTATAATGTTAGGTATAGTTTAATTTTCCTTATAAACATATCTCCTTTGAATAAGCAACACAGAGGATCTTATAGTGGATTTAGTGCTAAGATTAGGGCAGCTTTAGATCTGGTGTCTTTGCTTTGCTGAGTCAGGTCTGCTATGTAAGACGTTGACCTGTCCGGTGTTTCTCTCCTCAGGGGCTTCCTCTGCCACCATGCTGATCTTCATTCTCCCAGCAGCTTTTTATCTTAAACTTGTCAAGAAAGAACCTCTTCGGTCACCCCAAAAGGTTGGGGTAAGTAAGACTTGCAATTTTCCCCATTATAAGTTGTTCTTTGACTACTCAGAATAAACCAGAAAATACACATGGTTCAAAAAAATATGAATTGCTGAACAGGAATGAACAATCAAAGATGAATTGAAATTCTCTGGTGGAGAGAAAGAAGGCTGGAGTTCTGGCTCAGATGATTCCGGGATTTCTTCTCTTCAAATACCTAATATCTTGGGCTGAGTTCTTCCTACCTGTCAGAGGCTAATGGAGCTCTCCCACAGGCACACATGCATCCTATCTCCCCCACTCAGCATTTGTGGCACTATTTTATGGGAAATTACGCAGGAAGGACAGTGTTCATAAACACTTTGGCCATACTCGTTAGGTATAAGGCCGAAAGAAAAGAGGTTGCTTTTGTTTTCCCTCCGTAGGAGCTTGCTGTCCTCTGGCATGGACTGACACCCAGAGCAGAAGCACTCCTTTCCCAGTTAACCTCTTAGGATATGAAATATAGTTTTATGAAACTAGAGAGTGTGTACTTCTTTTCTGTAATATAACTACAGAAAAATACACTAGAAATAATTGTTTTTCCAATAATTACATATTATCCATGACTGCTTAATAAAGTCTTATATTAAGACTTGAAAAGAAGCCTCTTACTGAATTACACTGAATTTTGCCTGGGAGTCATTCACCTCTTGGGGTTTTTCGGGACAATTTGGTATCAAAAGCTCCTCCAATCATCTCACCCCCAAGTTTCTACTCTAAATAGTCTTCCTTGGGCTTTATAGCAGTGTGGCCTTAGCAAGTTACTTGTCCTTTTTTGACCCATTTCCAGTTTATCAGATGTAAAAATGAGTAAAATTGTATTCTAGGTTCTTTCAAGTTAAAAAGAAATTAGCAGCTGCTTCCTAGTATATAGAATTGGGAGACTGACCTGTGTGGTACTAAATAAGGCTGTTTCTGGTGTTACTATTCTAAAGCATTGTATTACACACACACACACACACACACACACACACACCCCACACACACACTTCGTCCCCCCCACCCCCCTCAAGGAATATGCAACATATAGTAGGATTTTATTTTTGTTTGCTTTATAAATTTTCATCACACCTACCACTCTCCTATGACCTGCTTTTTTTTCACCTAAAAGACTGTGAGCTCTCCCCTGGTCATTAAATTGTCTTCTGTTGCTTGGCTTTTTAATGATTCCAGGGTATCCCATCATTTTGATGTACCAAATCAATGAGCCATTACCGTATTTTGAACATTTGGGTTACAATCTCTCTAATGTATTCACCCTCTTTCCTGAACTAGGCTTCTAAATTGACTGAATTGCTAGGCATGGGTAGCTGAGGTATAAGAATAATACATTTCAATAGGCAAATCAGATTGCTGACTTAGGTAAACAATTTACTGTTTACTGCCTTAGCACAAGCTTTGCTAAGCAAGGATGGTTTCTGTGTTCCTCACAAGTTCTCTCTGATTCACAGGCTTTAATTTTCCTCGTGGTTGGCATCATCTTCATGAGTGGAAGCATGGCGCTCATTATCACGGACTGGATTTACAACCCCCCGAATTCCAAGCATCACTAACCCAAAGAGAAATACTTTCTTTTTCTACTGGAAGTGGTTACAAATTATGCTCCAAAGGACACGTGAGCTATTTTACCCCCGTGATTGGAATGTTATTCGTAGGAAGTAACAAGAAGATTCCAAAGATATTCACCAGTAACATCACCAGGCACCTTCAGAAGAGAAAATCATCATTTTTGTCAACAGTGGCTGTTTATGTGTTTAAAATCTGCGGTGCACATTTCTACGCAGGTTTTGCCAGAGGAGTATAAGATGATGTATTTTTGCTGTTGTACAAACAGAATAAGGGTAGCTGAGTGTAATGGTCATCAGATAGTCCCCTCCCCCTTTCCTTAGTACCAAATACTTGTATTCTCAGAATATCAAATGAAATGCCCTGGTGGCAAAGCTATCCCCACTTAATGCCTTCCCCTAATCTTGCACTAAACACTTTGGGTCTATTTAATAACAGAGGCAAAAGGCATGTCTTACAAACTGTCCCTGTAAGATACATGAGTGATCAGACACCAGGCTAGAGTATCTTATTGTCAACAGTAAAAGAATATTTTGCCCATCCTATTTGTGACATTGAATTAATGACGTCTTCATTTAGACTTTTTTTTAAACATTAAGAGAGGGGTCTTATTTAAATTATAGAGCAACAACAAAAATAATGCTTATAGCTGAACTGCCTGTTCTGGAAGCATTTGCTTTTTCATATTCGTCTTAGTCCTCTTATCATACTTTTATTATTGAACAATGCTCTCCCTCTCGTCTTCCATTCTCATTCAGAATTTTTAGAAGACCACAATTCATGTGGAGGTACACTACCCAGTATTGTTTGATACATTTTTATTTGATAAACATTCAGTGCAGGAAACTGTGATTGCTATGTGTTTGTGTATATAATCTTATTCTGTAGTCACCAGAATTTTAATGTATGGTACATTTGATTTTTATTTTTTACATGTGTAGTTTGTCTCTCATTACAGTCAAAACATTTATATTATTTGGGGTGAGGGCAGGGAATTAAGTTGATGGGCTCAAAAATCCATTTGTACGTATTTGTCTATTCTGGATATTTTAAATTTGAAACCTAAGTTATACATAGCTCCGTAATGTTCTTTTTCAATGTTTACAGTAATATCATAATCACCTGCAAGAAAATAAGTTCTTATTTGCAAAAATTTTTAATAATACTGTTCATTTAATTTAGCATAACTACAATAGCATTTAGTTCATTATATCTTAGACAGGTGTTTGCAGACATTTATTTGCCATTTACTACAATGTTGAGTGGTTCTCCATAAAAATAAATGCTAACACTACGAGGAGAAGCAAACTATTATTTTTGCTCACTTCTACAACATACAGGAAATGGATTTAAAAATTAGTACTTACCGCCTGGAATTTCTGGAGTTTGCTACTTTTTTTCAAATCAGTAGCAAGAACATTTGTTCTATATTTTATATTTTAGTAAAGCCAAGTATGAAATACAAGTATCATATAAGTACGATAATATTAAATCATATTCCAATAGTTTTTCTGGAATGTGCTATAAGAAAATATATTTGTTTTATGTATTATTTTCTAGAGGCACAATACTGTAAAATGGTGCACTTTTTTATGGAAATTGAACATTACTAGAAACTATCATAACTTTTAAGTTACTATTATTGGAAAAAATTTTCCAAACAGCATCTTTAAGATGTATTTTCATGCATCTAAAGAGATAGCAGGTGGAAAAGTTGCTTTCTGAGTGTTAAAAAAAGTTTAATCTGAATGTTTTTAAATGTAAATATCAATAATTTACAAAAAAGTGGAAAACTGTAAAATCTGTATATATTTTGAATGTTTTACATTTGAAATGACTAACTTAAAAATGTCAACATATGTAATTATATAAATACTCAAGAGCAATACTACAGTGCCCCATAATGAAGCACCATTTCTTTCTCATGGCCATTTTGGGATGAATTCAGACTGCAGGGCAGACATACATATGGTTAATTTAACCCCATTTGTAAACAGATAAAAATTTTATTTTCTTATTTCATTTATAAGATGGTTCAATGTATTGGGAGGCTTTTTTATTACAGAAAGTGTATATTGGTATATAATAAATGAACTTTTCAAAATGACTATGATGTGATTTTTTTCCATTGCTGAAGACTCTGAGTTATACAAGAAAAGAATTTTAAATCTAAATATTGTCTTTCTTTGTTCTATGTCATTGTTACTATTGACATAGAACTAACATCTGTAGCTGTCAAAAAGAGTTGCCATCTTATTTAGGCAAAATACACAGCTAATCCTAAATCATCTTTATTTTGTATCATCACATATATACCTCTTAGAATAAATGTGGAAAAAATTAATCCCTTTATGGTTAATTAGGGAGAATACATTTGAGATGGGGAAAAAAGAGGGACTAGAAGAAACATGAGAATAGTAAGATAAAGACATGGAAGATTTCGGAGAGAGGAAAGCAACATGCGCGTGTTGAGGATTGGGCAGAAATGGACTCTTAGTGGGAATGATGGGTCATATGGTAAAGTGTTTGCTTAATTTTCTAAGAAACTTCCAAATAGTTCTTCAAAGTGGTTCTGCCATTTTCATTTTCCCCAGTAAGTATACAAGCTCCAGTTGTGCCACATCCCTGACATTCACTGTTGTGTTTTGTACTTGATAGCCTTTCTAGTAAGTGTGAAATATAGGGTGTCCCCAAAACATTTTTGGTATTTTAACAGCTGATAGTTGAATTGATGTTTCTTTATTTTCAGCCAGATTAAGCTTTGAGCAAAGGAAATTCATCCTAAAATGCTACTGGAAGTTTGATAGCACAGTTGAAGTACAAACACTGCCTTTATAATTATAACAAATGCTGATAACTCACTCAATTTTCACTCCTTTTCAGATTTCACTGGTTGAAATAATGGGGGAAGCTAGACTAACCTTTCAACAAAGAAAATTTATCCACTAGACTTTTTTGTGGGGATACATAAAAGATAAAGTTTATGGTATAAAACTGGCAACAGTTTATTAATTGAGGGTCACAAATACCGAAGGAAATGATTCTTGATGTTTGCAATTCCATTGCTTCACGTTATTTGCAGTGCTTAGACCAGAGCGGTCATCAGTTTGAAAGCAGACATTAACAACAACAAAAAAAATTCATATTCATTACCGTAGATTCTTTTAAATTTTGAAAATGAACTATATGTTAATAAACACTGACTTTAGTCATTCAAAGTGTGTATACATTTTTGGGGGGACACCTATAGTATCTTGTGATTTTCACCTGCATTTCCCTGATGACTAGTGTTGGCAACTTCCATGTGTTTCATGCCCACTCATGCTTCCTTTTCTAAAGTGCCTTTTCGAATATTTTGTTTATTTTTAAAATTAGGTGGCTTGTCTTTTGATTGTTGATTTGCCAACGTTCTTTTTATATTCTGGATATATGTCCTTTGTCAGACTGCACATATATTTCCTCAGTATATAGCATGCTACTCATTTTCCTAATGTGTTTTAGTTACATCTTTCTGGGGCTAGGTGTTTACAGCTCAGAGCTCTACAATTCCTGCCTAACCAGGATACGATTAATTGGAATGGTATTGTTGTAATTAATGTTGAAATTTTTAAATTTGAGTGTAAGAGTCTTCTTTTTTCTGTTGGTTTTTCTTTTTTGCTTTATTAATGTATGCTAATATAACTCTTGCCTTATGCAGATATTCCATTAAAAGTAACTTTTTCTAAATCACTTTGAATCTTAGTTGAGATCCAGTACTACATAGACAGGCCCAGGATAGCAAAAAACCTTACTGGCTGCTTGTAATCAACTTTATTAGCTTTCTCAGCCTTTGTTGCAGATACATATAAATGAAACAGGAGAAATTGTTCCATTTGATTTTTATTTACCAGATTGGAAGTTTTGCCATTTTCTCTTGACTCAGCATTCTGCCTCCTGTGCAGAAACCGCATGTACAGCTTGGCCTCTTCAGGATGCACCTTCCTGATTGTCTTTTCCCAATAAAAATTTTGCACTAACTATTTAATGGACAATATTGAAGAAAATGATTGAAAAAGGAAATAAGTTTAGAAATAAGCTTTGGGGGCCTGGAATTATAAATATATGTTATATTTTAATTGTCTGAGATTATTTTGACGTATTTCTTTCATATGTAAAGAGTTGCCATTGTCTCTTGCATCACACACCAAAATGAAAAAGTTCAATATGAAAGCCAAAACATAACCAGTAGACAGTTTAGAAAGAACTATTTGATAGGTACCTATGAAAGTAAAACACTATGGAAGAAATCATAAAAGTAATTATGAATACACTTATCAAAATTAATAGGATGCACTTTATGCAATGTTGAAAAGGAAATTAAAGCACTAAATGCTAACATTACAAAGAGGAAAGCTCTCAGATCCATATTTTAAATTCTTACATTAAAAAACCAGAAAAAGAAGAACAAGATAAACCCAGAGCAAGCAGAAGAAAAAAATTAATAAAGATAAGAGCATATATCAAGGAAACAGAAAATAGGAAAACAACTGAGAAAATCAATGAAGCAAAAGTTTTCTTTGGAAAACTTAATAAAATTGATAAACCTCTACCAAGACTGACAAAAATTAAAAAAAAACACAGCATTTTTTATCATTTTAATTGGCAGCAGTTTTCCTCTTCTAGTGGCATATAAAATAATGGTTCATCTTAAAATAAAAATCCTTAAAGTCAATTAAAAAACATATTAGCTTTCTGTGGTCAAAAGGACATGGGGCTCATTTTTTTCTAGAGTTTCTGAGCACAGAAATACAAAATGGTATGGTAACCATCACCATATGCCACTCTAATTCTAGAGTGTGTGTGTGTGTGTGTGTGTGTGTGTGTGTGTGTGTGTTGGAGGTGGGATTGAGGAGGCCAGGCCAGACCAAAGGAGGGTTACAGAAGGTAACCAAATAAAACATGAACTCACTGCAATTGGAATTATTTTCCAAATCAATCTGATTTCAGTTTAATTGATTAGCTTAGTAGAAATAAATGATTATATCCATTAGGAAGAAATTATTATATCCATTTTATAAGAGGGAAATAAAGGCCCCAAAATAAATGGTCACCACACTGCAATTGACCTCCTGGTCTCCTAAGTTCAAGCCTGGCCAGGGCAGTGGGTAGTTCCAGCCATAGGCTCCGCAGAAGCTATCGTTACTCTTAGTTTTGTTA